GACATGCTTTATAGGTGACTGCATACATCATGCAGTGCTCTAAGTGTGTCTTTACAAGTATCCTGAATGCTGCTTGAGTATGGAAATTACCGACAAAAGAAATTAAGAGCAGGAACCCCATGATTAGACTAATGCATTGATCAAGTCAATTCTTCTCTGTTTCACTGCCAACACACCACATATAAAAGCGTCATTAAAGAAACTTTGCTGTCTCTCCTACTAATGGTCTACAATTTGAGCATGCCCAGATGATTGACAGGCTGTGCCAGGGCTGCCTGTGTTGTCTGAAAAAGCCACATCGGATCAGCGGAAGCTTAAAGCAAAGCATAAATTATAGATATATGTCTGTTTCTTTGATGATGTGAGACTAGTAGGTGCATCCCACTTCCATCACACAAAGAACCACACTTTCATGCAGCTTTTTCACTTTGTCACATCACATTTGAAAAAACAACAGTGAAAACATAAATGTTCTATTTTTTTTAACAAACAGCCTGTTCAAAGCCAGTTTTGAAGTTCTTCCGTTTCTGAATTAATTAAATATAAAATGTGTTAAATTGCAAAGTTCAATGCAGCAAGGACTGTTGCTTATTTTCTATAAATACTCGTCATCACAGTTAACTGTTATACGTGTATCTGAACTGGAATGCTCCTTGCATTTTGGCCATTTGAAACAGAGGTATTTAGAAGGTTCTGAAAGGGGAGATTCTTTTGCTTTGCAAATTTTATTGTGAAAAGGTTATAGAATTTTATTACTTCTAAATTATAGAATCTTCGGCAATATTAGAACAATGAATTTGGGCTCAAGATAATGCTTATAATTATCAGGCATAAGTATGTGTAATATATTTATGTAATAAAAGAGAGACAGATTGTCATTATAATCTTACCCTGCCAACATGAGGAAAACTGCAGACTTATTGTAATATTAACAGATGAAATGCTACCTAGTTTGTTGATGTCATTTTTTACCAGAGCAAAAATCTCCATTATAGATTAATTCATGACTTTGATGTTTATGGCTTACAGTCAGTTGAAAATAAGAATGTGTTAGTGTTGGTCATATAATAATTACTCTAGAAATTACTTCTACATTTGCAATTTCAATGAAATGCTTAAAATATAATAGTAGACAATATAGGATATATCCATTACACAATTCTGAGGTACTGCAGAAGAGAGAGTTGATAGCACTTGATTGAAAAGGATAATACTTTTTTTTGAAAGAGGCATTTTGTTTCAAGTATTTAGTATTTTGGGCTTTCCTTGTTGTCATTGAACTTGTTCTCCAGCTACATGGTAATGTTTCCTTTCATGCTTTGCTGATGTCCAGTTTACTACCTAGAAATAGCCGATTGAGAAAAGCATATTTGTACTTTGTAAAATACCCATCTTGTATCATATGTTTTAGAGAGCAGACATTTCCTTTTCCCTTAAGGTCTAAAGATCTGTAAGTTGACATAATTCTGCACAAATCACTGCGCTAGTGTAACTTAGACTGTCCAAATTCCCCCTGGACTGTGGCCTCTGTAACTGTGCCATCACTCACTTAACTTCACCTCATCTTTAAATAAGTTTAACCAGAAGGGACTTGTTCAACTCACCACTCTTGAGTAACGTGAATTATTTATATGATCTTCATATGTGTTCGTTAAGCTCTATACAGTAAGCCTAAATGTAACTGTTTATTCTGTTCATCCATAAGTGTGTTACTCCAAGCTTTGAACTCAGGCTAACCACAACAAAAATCTCTCTTTTTTTGCTGTTCTTTGATGGAAATCAACATCATTTTTTCATGTTGTACAATGGCAGCACTGTTGTCTCAGACTGGCACATTACCCCGGGAATGCGCAGAGACATTTCACGTGTTCTGCACTGTGTGCTGCCACTCTCCAGACCACTTTCCTTACTGCTTCACAGAACTGAACGTACAGGAAGCAGTGTGCTACCATGTTGTGGGGCATAAACATGGCACTGCAATGGCTGCTGGGGACGTGATGGTTGCAACAGTCCTTCGTTATTGATTCTATGCTTTGTCTGAGGAGTATTAAGTGCTCTTTTTGGAGGAGTATTAAGCACTGGCAAACAAGATTTCTGTAGAACTGTAAAGCACCTCTGTAAAAACATGGAATCAAACTAATGCACTGTTTGAAATGCAGTACTGAAATATATTCTCCAAAAAAGACCAAGTAGTGGAAATTGCATTTTAAGTGCAGTAATGATAGTGCTATAGGTTTGCAGATGATGCTAGAGAACTCATCATTGTCCATTCAGAGGCAACATGTCTGGTTTGTAATCATAAAACAGTTGCACTAATACTCATTTGAAATCTTTAAAACGGGATGCGGGCAATTATTTTTCTAAAATAAAACATAAGTTCTGGTTTTCTTTAGTACATACAGTATAACTCTGCTTTCCATTTGAAATTTGTCCATAACAGCAGTGTTTATACTTGTCCCGTTAGAAGTAGTGCCAGAGGGACCTCAAATTTTTGAGTCCTGCTCCATTTTTCTTTGGTAGGTTTTCTTCAAACATAAGCTATTTTAACACCTCTGTATGTCATAGGATGAATACAGTCCACCAAATCAAACATTTTACCTCTTTCAGTGTGAAGTGTGCTCAGGTTAGAACTTGCTTAATTTATGAGCTGTGAGGTAGCCATGAGACTGTAAAGATATGCATGTTGTCAGAGCTGGTTTAATTTTTCAGAAATAAGAGGATTTTCTTCTTTTTGTTTTGTTTTGTTTCATTTGTTTGTTTGTTTGTTTCAGAACTAAGAGCATTTTATTCTGTTTTTTGTTTATTTTATCAGAGCTAAGAAAATATTATCTTTTTCCCTCTGGTTTTCTCTGGATATACACTTCATATACACTGAGTTTCCTCCTTGGCAAAAAAAGCTGCACATTTTCCATGCTTTATTCTGCTTTTCTGAACTGGAACATGTTGCTATGTGCTGCTAGAGCACCTAGCTTTGGAGGATCTGCAAATCTCATGCATTCCTTTTAGAGGTCTATTTCTGACGGTCCCTTAAAACCAGTTCAGAACCTCCTAGATTATAACAGAACAGGTTCGTATCTACTTTCAGTCAACAAGGCTTTGTTCTGCCTCAGGGATTTTACTTGTATCTTATGATATAGTGGAGTAGAGGAGAAGCAGGCAATAGTCATTTTCATCCCTAACTATCTTTCTTTAGAATGAAAGTTGTGAAGTGATTGGTTGAAAGAAAGAGATGTGAATACAGTACTGCTAAAGGAAACACCCTGCGCTGGGAAGCTGTGATTACAAGTTCCCTGAGCTCCACCTTTATTTCCCATTTTTCAAATGCTTTGGGATTTGATATGGGGTCAAAAGCCAGCATCTTTTGAATGGTGGCCTTTCTCTTTTCACGAAGCTATGGTATATTGCGGGAAGTTTGGATCCAGTTGTGTCTCCTGACTTTTCAGGCTCTGACAGTAATTAAGAGTATTACTTTTTGTACTGTTTTAGTCAACCACTGTCTCCATAGTTGATAATAAAGCAAATGTCAGGAAACAGGAACTTAATGAGATGAAACAAAGGGAATACAGGACTGGCCTACACTGAAGAACTGCTTGAACTGAGCAAACAAACAGAAAAACCTCAATACTATATTGAAGCAAGCAAGCCTGTGTTTCAAGATCCTTTTTTTTTTAATTATTATTATCATTTTTTTTTACTTCATAGCTCTGTTGGTTTATTTAGTTCTAGTGCTGGAAACAGCTGAAAAGATAACTCTTGTACATGAAACTTTGAAATTTTAAATGCAGCATGGCAATTATTTGTCATTAACAGGGTGTATCTTGAGGGTCTTTTTAGAAGTAATTGGAATGATACAGCAATTTAAGAAACACGTTAATATTTTTCCTGGTTAAACTTTATAAACAAATGTTTTCATAAACAGTAACTCTTGGTTGGCTACACCATTGCCATGTCTGGGTCTAAAACATAAAATTAGAGGGGTTGCATTAAGGATGGATACTACAATGAGATATTGAAGTTAACACTGTATTTGCACAAATCTGGGATTTTACTGCTTAAAAAGAAATTAGTTTCTGAGGGTACTCAACTGCTAGCAACAGATCAGCCTAACTGTGCTCCTCAAGACTCAGTTCTGCAGCCCACAGCTTGGAGTCAAGAGTGGGAAACCGGGAGCAGTAAGGGAGCAAAAACATTCTCCTTACTTTTTGTATCTGGGTCATCTTAATTGATCCCAGCAGACTTAACCATTGCTGGGCTACCTCAATCAACCCACCTACTTCGTCACCTGGAGGAACTTGCCTCTTTCCTAGCAGCTGAGGCAATACCTTTGGGGAAGAAAAGGTTTCCTCTGTTACTCCAGGGAAGATTTTTAACCTCTTCATTGCCATATACATTGCTGGGGCAGTCACCATCAGGAACAAATGACAAACCAAGACTTGTACCTTCCATACTACCATATATTCTTTTATAGTCCTAGAAAGGAAGTTGTGTACTGTACAGCTGGAATAGATGCTTTCAATAGCTATATATTTAATTGGTTTTCTTGCTACTTCATGCATTTAGCTGAGTTCTTAATGTCTTTCTGAAAAATTTGGCCAGCAAGTGCGTTAACTACAATGCCTTTAAAAATGCATTCAATTTTAAGCTGGTTTAAACCATTCTAAAACAGATAAAAATCACTCTTGATCTGAATAGCAAATGTTGAGGTTAGAAAAATACTTTCATGGTAACTCTACAGCTTATTAAGTATTTCTAGGTAGAATAGAATACTGAAAAAATCCTAAAACTGCTTATTAAATATGGCATTTTTTTCAACATTTTAGCTGAATATCTAAAATGAAGAAGCATTAAAATCTCTTCCAGAGGGATCACTGGTGTACAATTTTTACTTTCAGGTCTGGATGTGCTTTTAATGGTGTCTTGCAAGTCACGTATTGTCCCCTTCCCACTATAACCAGTATTGCTCTTTTTTTTTTAATTTTGTTTTTATATCAATGTTTCAGGCACTTCCTGTTCTGCAGAACACACCTATACAAGCTGTCCAAGCGGCCTGTACTGTTCAAGGGAGCATTGCCAGCAATACAGGTTTAATGCATACATATACGATGTTAAGGGTGTGCATTCTTCTGCTTCCCACAGCTGCACAGCTCACATGTGAGTCATTTACAGTCACCTAGTTAAGATGAAAAAAATCTTAATATTGTTCTTATCAGTTACGCTGATGCTAAGAACAGGCCTTGGGATTTCTCAGAGGGAGGTACCCATGTTTGTGTTGTTTCTGCCTCCAGATAAGCTTCAGCATTTTTGTGTAGATAAGCTTTAACTTCTTGGTGTTTTTGAAGTCCATGTAGTATAGTGAGCTTGGTTTTATACTACTGCAGTTCAGGCAGCAATCCTGTTGAAAGGATGAAAGGCAGAAACAATCACAGCTCTTGAGTCATCATAGCTTTTAAGCAGGATGTAGCCAGCTTCTTGCTTCACCAGAATGACACTCAGAGTCAGTAAAAGATTTGAGGAGAAATGCACATTGGAAGCCTATCCCAAGCACAGAAAGCACTGTGAAGCTCACTGCCTGCCATACTTAGTGTATGAGTGGTTACTGAAAATGAAAACTGAAACAATTTCTTGTCTGATGCATTGACCCCCCTGGAAAACAGTGAATTCTGAGTGCATTAGAAAGCTGAGAACTGATTGCATATGACAAATCTCTTAAAAGTAAAATAAACAGTGGAATACAATTGGAGATTAGGTGGGGAATTCTAAAGTAAGTGAAAAGAAGGCTTGTAGCTGCTAAGACTTAACAATTAAACCTCATTTCCCTGAAAAGAAAATAATGCTAAAAAATTATATTGGTAGCAAAAATGAAGGAAAGTAGTGAGAGACGATTAACCTGTGGAAACCATACATTTAAGACATGATTTTAAGAAATAGAAGGTTCATTTGAGACATACTGTTCAGTAGCAGACCTGCGTTATTACATCAAGCACCTCATACACTTGGTTTAGTTTATGTTGTAACGAATTATGGTTGTAAAGCTGATTTAGAGGGACCACTGTAGATGGTAGTCTGTTCTAGCAAATGTCATCAGAACCTGCTTATGGTTATTAAATCTCTATAGCTCAATGAGAAAAAAAGAGATTAATTCAAAACCTTTAAGGAAGCATGTTCACAATAATTGCACCCACCATAGAACAACAAGCTCTTCTTGCTTGCTTATTCTCTTCCAGTGTCCACCAATGGTATAGTTCCTTGAAGCTGTTCATACAAGTCATATCCACACTAACCTTGGGAAAAGGTGCCAGCCTGCAAATAGCGTACAAAGACTGCTTGCCCTACTTCGCTTATAAGCAGTTTGCTTAGAAAGATTCTATGTCTTATTCCAGTTTTAACTTCCAAAGGATTTTAAATTTCTCCTTCTTTTAAATATGTTTAAAATATCCTGTCTAGAAATTATCTGGTACTGCTGATATTTCATTCTACTGAGCTATTGTTTTCATTTTGACTTGTCTTTTCTTTCTTTTGAAATAAGACTTAGACTAAATACCAAAAATTCGTTCACTGCATATAATGGCTGAGTGCACTAAAATATAAAAACCTTGATTTAAGTATTTTTGTATTCAAAGATCATAGGCAAGTGTTCATTTGAAGGTTCAGTGGCATTTTGAAATGAGAACATCATATATAAAGATGTCAGAGATGGAGCCTCCCACAGTGAGGTTGAAAGCAAAAGAAGAACAGAATGAATAGAAGAGTTTCTAGGTTCCAAGGAATTTTAACATCTCATTACTTTAGATTACTCCACATATAATTTTCAAATATTTTGTATTATAGACTTTGAATGTATTGGTTAAGATTACTTCATGCCTGACATCAATTTAGTCTTATTCATTATCTCCCTTAAATAAAACCTTAAAAATAGCTGGTTTCAGTAAGTGAGCAATTTTCTGATAGATGTAAATTCCTCAACATTTCCAGAGAGATCTTGCTGTAAATGAAAACAGAAAGACTAGGAGATAGCCATCCCTCAGCCTTCCTTCAGCAATCTCAGTATACACATTTAAGTTACTTTATCAAATGCCAATGATTATGGTATTATTATTTGTATAGTCAGTGCTTTGCTTGGCTTGTCCTATGTCTTCCTATATCTAATACACTGTGTGATACAACTGTGGTCACCTGACGTGTTACTGGATTTTGAGAACAGGTGGACAAATCTGTGTTTGCTCTAGCTGAGCCACTCCAGCAATGAAATTGAGGTCACCCTTGACACTGTCAGTCACATCTCTTCTTAAATCTGTGCCAGTCTCCATCCCTTACTTCTGTGACACAGCTCTAATCTGGCAGTAAACAAATGAGATGTCAAAAGAATATCTTACGCATTTTCTTTCTTATCTCTAGTTTTTTTAAAACATCACATTAGAATATATACCTTTGTACTCTCCTCAGTGTTTCAAGATGAAAATATTTGTGTTCTTTAAAGATTAGAATGTAGCTTCCAAGTCTCCTAGAAATCTAAATGAAGGAAATGTGTTCCAAAATCTAAAATCATAGAGCCAGTTTTCATAAAGTCACATATCCACAACACCTATTGAAAATACCAGATGTATAAACATATGTATTTATTTAAGACAAACACATCTGTCATTTACTATGAAACACTTTTTGCATTTGAAAGAGCTTATAAAATAATTAATTGAACTCACATCTGCATCCCTTCTGACATTGGAATTAAATACTCCAGTTGTTCTTATTTAGGGTTCTTTCCTATTGCTTGAAAGAAACACTGTGTTCTGGATACACCAAAACACCACTCCATGTCCATTGCAAGGGACAGACTGATGCTGAGTGGAGAAGCAAAAAGGAAGAAGAAGGGAGGACACCATAGAAAACAGAAATACCTTCCTCTTTCTTTCATGTCTGCTGGGAAAGAATGAGATGATATCCTGCAAAAGATATCAGACAGATTTTACTTCTGTTAATATGATGAAGCACTGGAAGAAGCTCCTTAGGAATTATTTACGTCATCTTGTCCCAAGGAGACTTTAAGAACAGGTTCAATAGTGTCTGTCTTAGTGAGTAATAGAGGTGCAATTCTCCCACAGTGCAGATGGCTGGATAGGGAGGAGGTTGTAAGAAATAATGGTCCTTTTGACACAGTGAGAAATTTGGTGTGTGGTGATAGATGAGACATTTTGAGAGTTGATATTAATCAATCAGTGCACAAATATTTGGGAAGCCTTGCTCTGGAAGATCCCTTCAACTCACCATTTTTGTTATGTATTGATACCTGCCTGGGCTGCATGACAACCCACCAACATGCCAGGCCTGAGCATGCTCATCAGTGAATGCAGAGATGGGAGAGATGGGAATGTGAAGAAAATAGCTGAGGGAGGAGAAGGAATGAACTGTTTAAAAAGAAACTCACTGAAACAATCTGACAGCAAAGGGAAAAAAAATCAGATGCAAAGGAAAGAGAGAAATACAATCTGAAAAAGTGAGAGTGGACTGAAATTGCTTGTGAGCATTTAAGTCTCAGAGTCCCACGAAAAGCCATGCCTTGGCACCTGAGAGCTGAGATAGTGGCTCACAGCAGCACCTACTTAAGGTAAGAATGCAACCTCTCCAAAGCAGTAATGTTACAAAACCTTCTCCCATCTTGTATGGCACTTCATTCCTCATCCTCTTCTACTAGCTTCTGAGCAGTTTTGCTTGCTTATTATAGGCAGTTGCCAGTTCTTACAATTTAATCATTAACTTTGAGGTACTTGGTATTTTATTTAAATTTTTATTTAAAGCCTCAGCCCCTGCAAATGCAAAAGGATTTTTTTTTTTTTTTTTAATTAGAACAAAACTTTCTGGTTCTCAGGATCGTGCAGGAAATCTTGAAAGTGTGATCCCAAAAATATACCTTAAGATGTAATCCCTCAACATTCAGAAGTCAGCGTGAGAGCATAAAGAACCCAAGTGTGCTGAGAATTTCTGTTTCTTACTTCTCATATTTTGTTCATTATTTTTCCTAGTTTTGCAATTATTGTGCTAATGTTCAGGATTTTGTAAAGTCCAGCTGATGATCTGCCAAAGTTTGGCATGGTGTATGTATAGAATAAAGGTTTTAATGATGTTCTGATTACAGCTTTCTGTTAGGAATTTCACACAAAAAAAATATATTTGACATTTGAAAATCTTTGGCTGATTTCAGAAATGGAAAACACACAGATTTGTGCAGGAGTGTGAAAATGAGTAACAGAATCATCAGCTTCAATTGTGGTTTTATACTGGTTCTAACAGTAATTCTTTTTATTCTCTTTTTCTGCTCAAACTTACCTTTGCCACCAGGCACAAGACTGAAAACAATTCCTGTTTTGGGGAGGGCAGGAACACAACGTGGGTTTTCAGGTTTCCTTTAAGTGGGTTCTTTCCTGGCCCTTTTCCTTCTGAAGATAACTTTGAAAATCTTTACTAAAACCAATCAAGAAGGTTGAAAGCTTGCCTCAGATTTTTCTCCCCTACAGCTTATTCAGAATTATACAGCAGCCTCCCAGGATTGGGCTTTGGGGTCTGCAGGCTGCTTGAATCGAAGGCCAAATCCTCAGAGGTTCCAAGCAGCCTCAGCTTCAGATTTGGCTCCTTGTTAGCAGTGGCTTCCAGCAATGTATGGAGCTCCTACAGGGATCAGGACATAGTGGCTTTTTGCAGCTCCCAACAGGCATTTGTTTGGGGCTGATGAATTTTTATACTGAAGTTTGTATTGCAGTAGGATGCTTTCAGCAGACTGCCTGGTCTGCAAGAGCTGGGATCCTTTATGTATTGCTGAAATCCTTTACATGCAGCCAGATGTTGCGAAGAATCAGGGTCTTATGCAGCTAGATAGAGCAGCCTGATTCTGTTCTCTATCTCAGTGTTGCTCTTGATTCTCTTGCTTGGGAAGGGAAAGTTTTCTGGGAACCCTTGGCCTGAAACATTTCCCAGTTTCAAGCCCCGTCCCAGCAGTGAGCGTGGCTGACTCGCAGTGGTAGGCTGCCAGATTCCCAGATCCAGCACCCCTCCTCCCCTGTGCTGTCCTTGTCACAATCACCTCTCGAAATGCTTTATTCATTACGTTTTCATTGTCTTGAATTTATGCACTGCAGAAAGTGGGCTCCTAACATTATGAATGTTGCTTTCTGTCTGCTTGGCGTGTCATTTTGCTGCCACAGACAGAAATTTCCCTCAAACATTTTCTGCTGGAAAACTGGATTCCAGTTGCTGTTTTCTGTTCCAGGCCATAGAAATATTCACTATTTAATATTCCTGCATATATTGAGTTCTATAAATGATTGCTAAAAAGAAAGAAAATACAGTGACACAAAGAGCCACGATAAAGCTGTGATGTCGAATTCTGATCGCACAGTGGTAAGAACTGGTGCTACCTGGTGAGATCAATCATTATCCAGCATATGTTAGGGGGGGTTGGTGAAGCAACATGCTACTTGCTACATAGAAGCTTCCATAAGCTACACCTACGTATAGGTTGTGTGGGTGTAGGCACCACCAGTAACTGCAATTCAAGTGTAATTAAAGCCAAATTTCCTAAGAAAGCCTCTTTCTGAAAAATTGTGTCCTACTAATGCAAAATCAAAAGCGTTCTGAATACTAATGTAAATATACTATACCTTAGCTTTACATATAGATTTTGGTGAACACACCGCAAAGTTTCCTGAGCTGTGTCATTAACTGTTTTACAGATGAGAGCACAAAGCTGAAGCGAGCGGCCCGTGCTGGTGCTGCGCTTAAGTGGTGCAGAGCTCACTCTGGACTGCAGGCAGAAATCTTGGCTCCTTTGTGCCTACCTTAGAAGTCTTCAAACAGTAAAATGAAAGAGAAGGGGACATGAGAGGAAATGAAACCATATAAAGATAACTAGTCAGACATCTCTTCCTTCTCAAAATCACAAAATAAAAGTTTCATTCAGTCTCAACAAATCCAGATGTCACCAATTAAGAGCAGAAGTAGGAACAGGCATTTCATGCCTTTTGTTGTTGTTTTTTTTTTAATATAGTTTTTCTATTGAAGCCATACACGTACATGTTACACAGATCAGATTAATATTGCACATTTCCAACTTTTAGTCTTTCTTTTGTGAAAACAACCTGTTCTGTATTTGCTAAACAAAAGCTTAAATGCAAATAAAAATCAAAATATCAAACAACAACTCTCCAAGGCTAGGAAACTGAACAAAGCAGCAAATCCTATCCCATATCACCATTTCCATTAATAGTGCCATACACAAAGTAATAAGTAAGCTGACAAGAATTTTCCAACAATTCTTGATGCTCTAATGTTTTACTCTTTTTAAAATACCAGGAGAGATTTAGGAAAGTTCTTGTGTAAAATGTTCATATGCCCATTTCATTTACCTCCTGGCAAATCTGAGTGCTCTGGTGCATAAGTTAGAAAAGTGAAATAGTGGGGATTTTCAGCTGTCCGCCTTTGTCTGAGCAGAGCCAGGTTTGAATGCTAAAAGCAACTTAAAATGTCAGTGTTGACTACAGCAGCGCATAATTTGTAGGGTTGGGTCGTGGAGTGGAAATGGGATGCTTGATGTAGGTATGTAGGCTGCAGTAGGCACATGGGAAGGGAAGATACTCTGTGGTATCACAGAACCCTTGGGTACGTGGAGACACCTGGGGCAGCCTGAGCTGAGCCAGCAGGGCTCTGAGGGATGGGTGGCAATGGGCAGCATTCCAAAGGAAAGTGAATGTAGTTCATTTATGTTTTTTCTGTTAAATTTGTCGCACCTCATAGCAGAACCATGAGGCTTTGAGCTGGGGAGAGTCAGTCCTTTCCACAGCAACAGCTTGAAACTGTTGGTTCAAGCTGTTGGATCTAGTTTGTTGTGAAACTTAGGCTTCAAAACTCTGGTTATCTTACAGCAGTATAGATTCTATTGAGCTCCATTAGAGTAAATCATGTAAATCTGGTCTTGGAGTGAGAAGAGTTTCTGGCATCCAAACGTAATGAAACAGACACACCACATGTGTGTGCTGGCATTACACTTCCATTCACAGATTCTACCCTTGGTTTTATGGAAATGTTCATTCAGGTTGATCCCTCCTTAAAAATAAATAAAACCCGGGACCGATTATAGTTTTGCATCAAAGTCATGTGAAACTCATGAGTTTGTCACGAGCCCAGAGGAAACGTGGGAGTTTCTTGTTGAGATTTTCAGTTCACTTGAACTTGAAACTCGGATTGGAACTTGGGGGAGGAGTGAGTGAACACACACAAATCCAGAATAAAGAATATATTCAAACAAAATCTCATGAAATGCAGCTCCCAGTGGCTTTGCAAGGAATCCTCACTCAAAAAATGAAAACAAGTCCAAGCACATTCCTCTCTCCTGAAAGCCTGACTTAATACTACTGGAAATCTCTCTTTCCACCATGGGCAGTGCCATTTGTTAGAAAAGGAAAATGTAGGATATTTTGCTCAACAAATGCCCCTCTAACAGCCTTGAAAACAGAGGGAAAACTATGTTTTAATTAATTTATAAACAAAAGATTATTTCCTGCACTGCCAGCAAAAATCCTGTTTGCTGACAAGGTTCTGGCTTCAAACTTTATCAGCAACTGGCAGGATGAGTCCTTTTATGTAAATGAACTCATTATTATTAATTTCTGCTGGTGCTGAACGATTTATGAACTGCTTTTCGAATATGGAAAAGTGGTCCATGAATCAGAGGGAAAAAAATGTTCAAAAAGTCCTGGGTCGATAAATAACAGTACTCATTCATGAATCCCTCCCGTGGTGTCTTTTATCTTCAGTAAGGAGGAGATCAAAATGATAAAATAGTAATGTGCCAACAAAAAAGGACTGAGTGGGCAGAGGCTTGTAACATTGTCCTTCTCCAGGCCCTAATGGGTAGGGGTGGGAGGCAGTACCGTCCTTCCCGACAGGCAGCTATGTGTAATGACTCTCCTATGGTAGAAATGTACTCTGAGCACAGTAGAGTCTTTTGGACACTGTTATGTATGCAACTGAATTTACATTGCACCTTCTTTTTCATGTTTTTTCATCTGTATTTGAAGGAATCAGGCTACAATATCAAATATTGCAAGTTCCAGGAGGGGACTGTGGCCACAGAGGTGTTATTTTCTCCCTTAGGAAATTTTCCAATGAGCAAGCGGTCCCAAAGAGCAGACTCAAATTTATCACCAATGTAATTTCATTAAAATTACAGAATTTGTGCCCACTATTATTATTCCAGGACTCAATATTAGGGCAAGTCTATAAAAGTGAAGTAGTGAGAGCGATAAAAATCTATTCTCCAATTAGTTTTCCTTTCTACAGTTTTGATGTAAGAAGAAACTACAACTGCTCATTGTGACTATTTGCTCTTAAATAGTATTGTTCATCCGAAAGACCTTCTGAGTCTGAGTCAGTTAAAGCTCACAACATCCTGTGAAGTATGAAGAATTGTAATAGCACTGGAGGAAAATGTAGCCAGGATAAATTTTCACGCAAAGGTCCTGAAAAGAATTTGGCAGACTCAGTAGTCAGCATTGAAGAATTGATGACTTTTCCTCCTGCCACCAACAGCAGAAGTATCTTCCAGCAGATGAAAATAAAATGATGGAATACTAGCTGTTTCTTAAACATATGCATCGTTCATATTAATGTGTTGTCAATTCTCTTTATTTTGTATTGCCACAGGATGAAATCTTACGCTTCTGTGCCTAGCAATGAAGTTTTAATCACCTCAATATACATCGTTCCACAATATATATTTTTCTGTCTACCAAAGACATAATGGCTCCTCCTTTTATGGGAAACCAGGATTTAATCCAGTAAGTCTGTAAGAATCAATATTCTTGTGAAATGACACCATGTTGAAGTTATTTTATGTTATGTTGATGGTTAGCTAATTTTGTAATGGAGACGTTTCTTCTAGAAGCAGACATAGTATAATTTAGTGGTAAAAACGTCAATCACAAGGGGTTGAACACTTATGTCAGGGCAGGAAAAGGGCAGATTTATTGATGGAAATGTATCTATATACTCCTTGCAGCACTTTGACCTGAAATATCCATTTTGGTTATAATTTTGTTTTGTGAAAATGACATCAACTGTAATCACTAATGTAAAAATGACACTGGAATGCTTTGTTCCACAGGCCTGATTTAAAAGTCTTGCTGCTGTTTGTTATAGTAACGGCTTTTCAATAGCAAGCAAATTAAGGCACTCATTTAACTGCTCCTTTTTTGTGTTTGTAGGATTTTGTAATAGATGACAACCTCAGAAGAAAAAAAAAAAGAAGCAGTGTTCTTTTTTCTACTATTTAAGATTGTTTAAACAATAAATATATAGCATGTTTCATAATGACATTGAAGTAACCAAGAGAAGGAGGCATGGTGCTCTGGATAATGCTATATGCGGATGTATTCCTGTGTGGCTTTTCTTCCCAATGCCAGTTAACCACCCACCCAAAGCCATAAAAAACAGCAATAGGAATGGGTAGGAGAGGATGGAGTAATGTAAGTACAGAGGTTGAAAAAGAGTAAGTAACAAGGAAGGAGACAAATAAATAAAACAGTCCAAAGCACAGGGAGCATAGGAATATCTCACTTGAGACCTCAACAAAAATACAAAATCCTCATCGATTCAGCGATTCAATGAACTTTCATAGTATTACTCCAGATTAATAATGATGTAACTAAAAACAGAAAGTGGTCTAACCTCAGCTTAAAGAATAGGAAAAAGTGCATTAGGAACAATATGAATTTTATAGAGGATCTGCACTGTGATGTGAAGTACTGGTTAGTCTCAATTTTCTTCTGCACTATCATTACCTATCATGACTGCCTGGTTACTAAAGGCTTAATTGATCTCCAGGCTAGTATCTGGAGTTTTCACTTTAGTGTAAGGTGAATCTTGCATACTTGAAAGCTTAATTTAGTATAAAAAAACTGATGTTTTACCAGCTAGCAGATTATCAAACTTTCCTATTTTCTTCCTTTTTGTTTATACCCTTTGCGTGATAACACGTAAAGCCAACCCCTCACTTTCTACCAACAATAGGGATGTACATTACCTGCATCATAAATCTTAACACTTGTGTGTTTTTCAGGCAAATAAATGGCAGAATCAGAGACCATCCACTGTCCTGCTCCGTGGTGAGTCACAATGATTTTCTCTCCTAAATATAGAAACCATTTAGAGTCCAGGTAGATTACAACTTTCCAGAAGTTAAAAATGGGAATATGGCTTATATTTTAAGGACATGATCCACAAAGATGTTCCTTTTGAGTGATAGTAAAAGCTTTCTATAAACTTGATTCACTGAAAACAGTCCTCAGATAGCTGAAAGCTGCTCACTGGGGAACATAGGGCACTGCTCACCTTGTGATAGTATGGTAGCTCAATATGGCACTTGTACAATGGTGCATTGTTTGCACGCTATCAAGCACAGCTGAACAGCTTGTCCAGAGGTTGCCCATCATACATCTTGATGTGAATGGAATAAGTAGCTCTGGAAGAAGCCACCCCTCCCAAAAGTTATGAGCGTTCATGACTGCAGTCATGGGCAATGCTTTACAAACTGGAGAAGAATCAAAATACAGAGTACAAATGTGAAATTTAGGTCACTTTCACATATTGCCGGTCAGATCATGCATAGTTAGTGCATTCCCCAGAGAAATGCTGACTGGCAGCAATATTAGAAGAAAATCATTCTTAAAACAAGAAAAGTGAAGCTATTGGGGTTTTACTCTATACATACATATATATATATGTATATAAAGTAGAATTTTGTTGTTTTTTCCTAAACATTTCTGATCTGCCCATTTGCATAGGTAATGTCTCTATTGCATTTATTCACACTGCTCATAAAAAAGCACATCACAAAAGTGCCTGGAAAATAAAACTCCAATGAGAAGGGACACATCAAGTTTAAATGGAGGTTTATATTGCAGCATTATGAGACAGAGGCTTGTACATTTGCAGGTCCCATGGCAGAAAGTGAAACTCTGAACAATTAAGGCAGCACAGACATCCTGCCCTAAAGGACTGTAAGTATTTAAAAAAACAGGCATGACCTCTCTTTACTGGGCCTGTTTTCTATTTAATTTGCAGTTTTTATTAGCCAACAAAATCTTGGCTAGATCTTAGTCAAAGTGATGAATAAACAAGTATTTTGATCTACAGTTTGGGGCACTTCAGAGTATTCTTTACTTTATGATCATTTGTAATCAAGGTCAGAGCTCTGGCAGTAATTTAGATATCAATTTATATATTTATAATATATAAATCACTTTGCAGTAGCCCATGTACTGTCCTTGCTATTTTCATTCAGGATGCAGTTGAAGTGGTCAGTTGTCAGAAAGTTACTCCTACGTATATGTACAAGCAGCTCCATACTGAAGTTTCCTGTATGTAGTTTCCACAGTGGCACACAAAAATGGTGCATATATATATATGCCAATGGTAGCAATACAGTAATTAATATTATGGGAAAAAAAGCTCTAAAACCTTTGAAGAGGAGTCTTTGTCACCTGTTAGTCTCACTTTGCCAAATACTTTTCTAACACACAAAATGTTTTCTGCTCTGTCAGATATAAACTGTTTGAGAATCATTCTCCTTTTAAAGTACAGGGAATCTCTTTCCTGCCAGAAGGGTCTTACAAAACAAAAGCCTCATGTGTGACCACAGTATCAGCTCTATCATTTCAAGTTCTAGGCACGTATCTTCCTCAATATGATATCTTTCTACATCTTTCTCTCTACCCTTGTGTATAATTGGACAAACCTTCTGATTGTACCACGTATCTGCAGCTCAGTCTTTCTACTACCACAGCTCAATTACTCCTGCAAACCGCAGCAGTGAGCCTCAGTTACTTTGGCCTCAGCAGATGGGTACCTTGCCCATTCACTGACACTGCTGCAGGGGTGCATTTCTAAATTTAATGTTGTACAATCTTCCTCTTCCACCATGCGCCTTTTGTTGTCTCCTTCCCTTGCCCTGCAGCTAAAAGCATCTACAGATGTTTTAAGGCGCATCACAGGCTCTCCCCATCCTATCTGCTGCTGTCACACGCACTGTTACTGACAGATCCATGTGCATCCTCCATTCAGTCCGGATCTCACCACTCATTTCTTAAATTTTGAACCATGCTGTTTTCTTCTCTGCATCCACTGTTATAAAAATCAGCCAAGCCACTACAATTGCCCTTCTTCACATCCTCCCTTAAAACTCTCCTCTGCTGTGACACCTTAAAAAAATGATGGTGGTTAAGCAGCTGATGTGCTGTGACTGCATAGTGATCATAATTATCTCCAGTTACCTTGTCATTTCTGCCCCTCTTCCCATCTGTTTGCTGTCTCTTGTCTCTTGCTTAGATTAAAGACTCTTTAGGGTAGGGGCCATGCCTGTATTTTCTAGGTATTTGGATACCATCCCACAAAAGAATCTTGGGTCTGAGGCACTGCTGCAGTACACATAAATAAGAATTATTGTTTCTAAAGCAAAATCTTCTACCTTTTTTCTTCTTCCTATGCATAAATTATAGCCACATCCTGTAATCCATTTTTCAGGCTAAACAATTGACTTCAGTGGGAGTTGAGCCAGGGCAGAAGTTGGCCTATAGTCTTTATTCAAAACAAGCAACATAACACGTTGTTAATCACCTTAAATAGAATCGATCACGTTCAGTGATGCCATCCTACCTGCAGATAAATTAACTACCTTTCCAGAAACCTTATGACTTCTCTTGTCTACACAAGGCCAGGCAGCTTTTTAGAAACCATTGCTCTGCCAGGGATAACAGGATTGCAGTGGCTCTCTGGACATGTTGATCATTTGGAGGTTGGCAGAAGGGTGGTGAATAGCCAGTTGCATGCTGCCCTGTGCAAGCCCGGGAGGCCTCAAGGCACTGCAGCCTCCTGTTCTGAGCTTTTGTCTCTCAATAGAGTAAGGTAGAGCAATCTTCTCGAGGCTACAGTTTTGAATTTTATTCAGAATCTTGTTACTGACCTCCAACACAGCTTTATCTGTAGTGCAGCCATATTCCTAAGCTGCTCACTCAAATTCACCAGTCTCAGGGAAGAAATGGGTTTGGCCAGGAATGCAGCTCAGGAAGAATCTCAAGCTATTGGAGCATGTCTGCATTCTGACTGGTGGTGGGAGAGGTGCTCATGCTCATAGAGGCCACTGTTCCTCTGCAGTTCCTTGAGGAACGACAGCTGTGTGCTTCCTTCCTGTAACTTGGAAGAGCTGCAAAGAAAAGGAAAGCCAAAACAAACAAACAAACAACAAAAAGCCCAACCATGCGAAATGTGAAGAGTAAAATCTGCCAGATCCGAGGAGCCATTGTACAGCTGGAGATGAGCCATAAATCTGCAAAAGTTCCGTGTTCATGCAAAGACCTGGTTGGAATTGCTATACCCCTTCCACCCCTTCCTTCCCCAGGTGAAATTTGTCCTGCAATGTGCGACAGACCAGAAGAAAAGCACACACACTTTTCCTGGAATTACGATGCTTTATAGACTTTCTGATGTAAGTATGTTTTTTTCCTCTTCTCCCACAAAGTGTGGGACTTTCTAAATTGTTGCTGTGTGAGGCAGGTCCCCAACATCCTCAGTAAATCCCGTCTGTATCTGCTTACTTTCTACACAAATAATTATTATTTTAGCTGAGGATAAATCCCAAATAAACACAGCTCAGGTTGCTTTCTACTTTTGCCAGTGTTTATGTCATTAGGTGCTGGTCTGTAAATGAGCCATGCTGGTAGGGCTGAATGTTAAATATTCAGGTCTATGTCGTACAGATTAAAACACAGGAAGAAAAAGAATCTCTTTGCTTTAACCAGCATGACAGCTATCAACTTTGAAACACTTGGAAGAAATCTCCTGAAGCATTTTCTGTTTGTCATCATCAGAACCAAAGTGCTGAATTAGAAGCACAGGTGATCCTGGTCTTACTGTTCCACAAGAATAAGCAAATATGTATGTGGTATACATGCTATGATACGTAATGAAGCAGAAGTAAACTGCACGTTCCTTCCCAGCCTTTTTCAAAAAGACATAGCATGTTTGTTTAGAGAAAATCTTTTTTTCCTCAAGAGGCATTGGAAATGTATAACTTTATGTCAAAGTCTTCTTTTATTGTGCCTCTCTTCCCATATGTTTTGGGTCCTCAGTTCTTTCAGTGTTATTAGGAAAAAGAGTTATCTAAATATTTTGAGTGGAATACTGTAGTATATCTAAAAATTGCCCGTGCTTTCCTATCTGAGAAATGTCTGCAGCATATAGCAGATAAAGCAAGACTTCACATTTATTTTAGATAATTGAGTGCCTAATTATTACAAAAGTGATGTGAAAGAGAAATACCAAATCGGACCCAGAATTGTGACTAGAAAACAATAGTATTATTCTAATTAAAATCCATATAAAAACATGTTATCCTGTGGTACCCAAATCCCTGACAGACTTGTACGGCTCAAATAATCAGAAGATTTGCAGACTAAAGATTCAGTAAAAGTTTCATAGAAAAGGAAGATCCCCAATGAATTCTTATTGTTTTTTAATACTGTGCCTCTTCTATGACAATGAAGGCTTTCGGGGACTCTTGATCACTTATGGGACATGTGGGTCATTTGAAAGCTTGAATATTCATTATGAGATGAGCTGGAACTGGATGTGCAATATGTTTGGTTGAAAACTAAATTTTATGTAAATTCTACAATGATGTTTTCTGGCTCAGTTAGAATCCATTCTACTGTTTATCTTTCTACTAATAATGCTCTCTTGGGCTTCTTTTTAAGCCTCTCTGTACACTTTTTTTTTTTTTTTTTTCTCTTAAAATGAAAGATGAAGATCCAAAGAAAGCAATTTTTAAAGATAGAAACAGAAAAACAAGGTAAAAGGAATTAGCAATGCAATCTCTGCATATATTATGTGGAAATCATCTGCAAAATTGCATCTTGGAGTTTTATTCCTAGGACATTAACCATTTCGTGTTAGAATGGCACTGCTGCTCTGCTTCCCTATATTTTAAAAACTGTTGGAACTGCTTTTGCTTTCTATTCCTGGATGTTTTTTGTCACATTTATTAAAATATTCCTTTTCCAGAGTGGTAAATCCAGTTCTCTGGAAGAGATAAAATCTGTGGCATAGCTCTGAAATGAGAATTAACCTTGATTACTACAGTAATTTACTAATCAAAACTGGAGACCTGCTAATCAAGCCTGAATTACCAGCTGCTTGATTTTTATAGTGACATAACCAAAACTGAACATTTGGTAAACAAAAGCCTTATTTATGAGGGGGAAAAACTGGCATATGGCCATATTTATCTTAATATATTTATCAGTATATTGTATGTTTTCCTTATCCGCCAGCGTGGGGCATCTCCCTCCTTACTGAGCTCATCCACCCGACCCCACCAAGACAAGCACTGAAATTCAGGTTACCCCAGATGAGGTCAGAGCAGGGAACCCCACGTTTCAGGAGGAGTTTGTGAGCTACCTGTTGGTTTTGGCTCCAGGGAGGAGGATGTTATATGGCAACTGCCCTGTGCTAAAGAGTTGGTTAAAAAGCACCCCGGAATAAAGCTCAGAACAGAATGGAGAGCTGCCAGGAAGCAGACAGCTGCAGGAGGAAATGGCAGAGAGCATCCATGTGGTGCCGGTGTGCCAAGGCCAAGGGCAGCAGCCAGCCCAGGATGGGCAGCCGGACATGAGAAGATGGGGACGTGGTGACAGAGTCACTGAAGGCCCCAGGAGGGAGCAGTGGTGTGAGTGCATCGCCTGTCTGTTGTGCCACTTGTTACAGCCTACCTGATACACCTGGGATTTTTGAAGTATTTAGTTTCCGTAAGTACAACTCATTTCGTGGTTTTAATCATTTATTTTTGCAGTCTGAGTTCTCTTCATTTTTTTCACTTCCCAGATGGCATTCTGTATCCACTGACACAGAAGATAATTTCCTAGTATTTTCTTTAATGAACAACCTATTATGAACAAGCAAGAAAAACCCATACTGCACAATTCTTCCACAGATAAACTGGTAATTAATATAAATGGAAAGAAGATGCAAAATGGGAATACTTTTTGTTCCTTGCAGTATGCATGGTATTTGATGCATAGTGGCTTGTGCATTAAAAAAGTGCTGTGCAAATGATACTGTTTTGGGTTATCGTGCTGTTAACAAAGTTATGGAACAGAAACACAAAAATATTGTTTCCAGGATAAAGTTTACAGCAGAAAATCCTCAGTTAGTCAGGTTCCCTTCCACCCTCTGGATGTTACTACCTAATCTCTCATTCTTTCAATTTTTAGCATAGAAAATACATGCTAAAGCCACTGCTGTTACCATTTTTTTCACTAACTTTACAAGCCTGAAACACTGTTTTCCCTCTAAGCATTGAGTATACTTGTGACTAATAGTGATGAAGCAGCATAGGGTTGAATTTTAAACACGTTGTCTGGTTTACAGTATATTTAGACCTTGACAAACGTGCGTGTACTGGGTGTATAGACCCGACCCTGTGAGCTGCAGGGCCAGCCTTGCAGCCCCCCAGCAGCAAGCACAGCCTGGCCACGGGATGAAGCAATGAGCAGCCCACTCAGCAGCTTCAATCAACAGACGTTTCTTCTAAGTGGTTTTAAATATCTGGAAAATATGAGCAACTGTAAGCTAAAACAGAGCACTGTTCCTAATATTGTGTTCTCTTGGCAGGAGGGATATCCAGATTTCAGGGATGGATCCTGGAAGAACATTCAGGCGGCAATGACCTCTGACATTTGGAAAGCCAAATAACAGTGGAATAAGTGGCTTAGAGAGAGTTAAGCAAGAGAGAATGTTCCACCCCACACTGGCACGGTGCTCTGCTTCGCTCCATTTCACATCTCTGCTTCTCCATGAAGTCATGCCCCTCAATCCAGAAAGCTTCCATCAGAAATGCTCAGTACTGCGTGTTTAGTGTAATACTTACACCCTGTCAAGACTTCCAAAGCACAACAAATTAATCTGGAAATTCAGATCGGACTGTTGCAAGGATGTAACAGGAGCTCTGCAGGGAGAAGGTGGGATGAAGGCACTGAGAATGAATTGTTGCCCAAAGGGATTGATTGCCATGGAGGAAGACCAGAAAAAGGATAAAAAACAGCAACAAAATGTGTAGTAAAGAAGGTGGAAACAGGAAACAAATGGTGAAGTGATACCATGATGCTCTACTGGCTCAAAAGCAAGAAAAAATTATGAAAGCATTAATTTATTCATTTTCAGCCAAATGAAAACAAAACAAAAAAATCAAAACAAAAAACTAGTACATAAAAAGAGAAAATAGACCAGAAGTTAGAACATGTGAAGAAAATGGGCAGCAAAGGAAGAGGAAATGAAGAGTGGTGAAACAAGTGTTGGAAAAAAAGGAGTGGGGGTGAAGAAGCAACACAAAGAGATCTGATGCACAGGGCTTTTAGGTAAGTGAGTTTTGTTTTTGTATGTCATTTCCTACTTTTTTTGCATTTCTCTGGCAACCATCCCACAGTTCCATAACCTGTGGGTGGGTGGGAGGAGGTGGCTGAGAGGGCAAAATGGTAGTTTTTGGCAGAATATTGACATGACTTGAGTCAGGTCGTCGCTTGTGGTTGTCATTAGACAAATAGTGAAACTGGGCTAATGGGACAGGTGAACAAATCCTGCGGGATGGAGGAGGCTCAGCTTTCAAAACCTGACTCATGCGGGGAGAGGCCCAAATGATTCAGTGCAATGAAAGCGATGACGAGCAGTGGTTCCAGCACTGCAGGCCCACAGGGCCATACTTGGAACACAGTTCTCAACTGTTAGCACAGAGTGAGATCCTGAAACACAGCCATGTAGCAAAGCTTAAACTCTGAATCTCCATCTTTTCTGGGTACCTCTGTTTCTTTTTGCCTTCTGTATGGTTCTTTACGTTGTTTCCTTTTTTTTTTTTCTTTTTTCTTTTTTTTTTTCTTAATATACTTGTGTTTAATTTATTATTTGTTTAATTTAGAAAAATCTCTAAAACATGCCTAATAAAATGAGTTAAAATTTGTGAAGATTTTAGTACATTACAATAGCTGCCATCCTGAGTCAGGGAAACTATCCACACAGACCAGTGACTTCTGGGAGTGAGCAGGAAATAATGCCTAGGGAAAAGGAATATGAGCTCTTATGTATTGGTAGCATAGAACAATCCTTCTCCCCCTGTGAGCTTCTGCTTCTCAGGAGCTGTATCTCAGGCACTTTGATTGGAGGCTATTCTTGATCATCGTGTGTAGTAGCTAGTGATGGATTTTACTTTGCATGATTTCATGTAATCCCTTTTATGGTCCATTTACACTTTTGACCTCCACACCATCTTATGGCCATGAGCTCCATAATTTCATTATGCACTGTGGGGATGAAGTGCTTCTTTTGTTTGTATAAGACTGATGCCTGATCATTTAACTGGGGCTCCTAGTCCTTGCGTTGTGAGAGCCATTGAATAATTGCTTAGTATGTCAGTACGTCAGAAATAAGGTTTTTGAAATTAAAAACCTCTCTTGCATTTTTTAAGCTTTATGAAGAGGCAAGGTCCTCCTCTTGTGATTATTTTTGTGAACAAGGAAAAATTCAGCATAGTCCTCAACTGTGGGTCATAGGCTGATGAAATTGGAATTAACTACAGTAAAAGTAGTTTTATGGTGTTCGTACTATACTATGCAGATAAGTATCTCCTGTATTGTCCCCTCCTCATGTAACATCACAGAGCTATTGTCAGTTCCACAGGGTATGGAATAGTCTAAATCTAATGTCATGACCAATGGCACAACTGTGAAATTATAATTACAGTAATGGGAGGAAGAGGAATGGTCTGGCAAGTTAAATAACAAAAGACAGAATAGGACTCGGGTTTGAACAAGACACCTGAGTGTGAATGTAGAGCAGCATGCTGTAGGGTTACCTAGGATGTGAATTTAGTTTCTCAGAAACTTTGTAATTGCCACGTTCACAGGCCTACTCCCCAGTACCTGATAGAAATACTCTTGTTTCTCTTCCACTGGCATGTCAGTTATCTTGCATTTGCTTTTGGCTGAAAGCATATGAATGCTTGCAGTGGGGCCACTGTCCTTAGCTTCTCTGTGGCTTGCTTTGATCCAAACAATCTGCTCATATGCCTACACTGTCCACTTGTTGGCCTCACTGGTGTCTGTCCCGGCAGAGAAGGGGCCAATAGCTGTATTGGATTGTGTGGCATAACATGGGACAAACAGCACAGGACCAGCTCTTTTCCCCTCCTGCCATACTTCAGCCTGGGCAGGGGGTGCAGGAGAGGCGATGCCAGGCAGAGCCTTGCTTTCCCTCTCTGCAGGTGGACGTTACCCCGTCTCTTCTCTGTCTCTCCCAGTTCTATTTTACATCACTGTTGCTTTACAGCAGAAACAAAGAGCAGACCGGAGGATAAAATCACAACTGCTCTGAAAAAGCATGGTGTGTGGCAGTATTTGGAGCAGTGGCAGGAAGCTAAAAAAATATAAAAATAAAAAATTGATTGTAACCCAACAATCAAAATTAATGTAAGAATTTAATGCAAGGCAAGGTATGGTGGAACAAAGACTATTGGGGGTACTGTTTGTTTTCAATTATGACAATCAGTATTCAGCAGATAAAAAGAAACAGCAGCATAATGGTTTGCACTGAATTGTACGAAGAAACAGTAACTAACAAGTATCACAAAACATGTCACAAATCGATTGTTTTGAAAATATATTAAGTTTCTTTAAAAAAAGTAAAGATCAGAAAAGGAAGCGGCACAAGCAGGAAGAGACAGCACACAAAGATTTACTTCTGAGTGCTACAAAATATTGAACTAAAAATAACATTAAAGATGAAATTTTCAATGAATCTCAAGCTGGTAAATTCCCAAAGGCTGGGTCTGCCAAAGGCTCTGTTGGTTTCCTCTGTTCTTTTCTGTCTTTATTTAAATATTTTATACAGTTGTCTATGTTCATGTGTAGTGCGAACTGTCATTTATATTTCAGTCCACTCTAAAATGGATCTTAGACTATCTCAAGCTGTGCACTGCAGTGAGTAGTTTTGAACTGAGAGGTAAGTTGAAGTGGTAAGGACAAATGAAGACTGATATTTAATGTAGTTTTTGTGTACTTATATTTTGCTGTCATGTATTTTCCTTTAAAACTGATTTGTAATTTTATGGGTTTTGTGACATTAGGATAAGATGTGATGTGAGTATAGTTTCCATTTAGCAAATACATTGATGTATTTTTGAGTAGGAGTGGTTGACTGTGGGAATTCTGACCTTCAGGTTTCATGTTTAGCAACAACAACATGCAAGTTTAGATCTGCACTCTTGAATGCTCCTTTCTTTGGACTTACAGAGCAAATGTTTTAAAGCAAGCCACTCAACCTTATTTCAGATCCACTTCTGTGAGAGGCCCACAAGATGTGAATATCCTCTCATCTCCAGTGTCTTAGGAATGCAAAGCACACCTCAGCTAAGAAAATTGGGACTTGCCATGGAGCTGGGTTTGTCACCTTGGGACATATCCTTCCACCCATTTGTGCAGTGGGGCAAAGCAAAGAGCCCTTTTCTCTCCCCTGTAAAGACAAATTGCAGCTCTCAGGTGGCTGGAGCAGGGAGGAGGCTTCCTAATTGCTCCCCACAGGATGGAAGTCACCCAGGCCTGTGCTGGTGGACAGGGTGATGGGACCTGCTGCAGAGCACACACAGAAAGTGTTCCCTGAAGGGCGGTGCTGCTGAATCCTGGCCCAAAGGCAGTCCTGCTGCTGACATGTGGCACTGCCTGTGAGGTCAGGTAAGAGATGTAGAACTGTATGAAGGTGGGATTCTGCATTGTTTTTACACCAGGATGAACAAAGCATGTAGTGCTGACCTCAATTTCATCAGTACTTGTAAAAAAGAGAATTCTTGAGAAATAATGTTGCTTTCTTGCTTCTGAACTGAACAGTAAGTCATACAGAATAAAAATTTTAAATAATAGCTATTAGATTAGGAAGAATAAGAAGCTTTTACTTCTTGGACGCTTTGACTATTACAGAATTGATAAATTGCCACTGAAATACAAGCAGCTCTGCAATATGATAGATCAAAGTTCATTTTTTCCCTAACGCAGAGTTAAGATGAGCAGGCTTTCTTTTTGCCCATCTTCTTTGCAGATCAAAAACATTCCTTTCTTTTTATTTGAGTGATCAATTTACTAGAAGAGTCCAATATATATGTTGTGACTGTAGTAAAATTCTTATTCACAAGCCTTTAAGAAGTAATACAGCATGTTGGTTGGCATTATGCAAACCTCAGTACATCTCAGAACCACTGTTCAAAGTATATAGCATGTCTCTTCCACATGATACTGATACAAAGATAATTTATTATATTTCATAAAGTGATATTTCTTAAAGCATTCTGACCACACTATTTTTTAAAAAATCTCTTTTAAATAGTTCTTCTGCACTGAGGTAGCACAAAGACTTCAGAATATTGTGTTTTAATGGACTGTAATCCATAGAAAGTATTTGAATGACTAAAATGTAAATCTTGGAAAGCTGCTTTAAACCTATAGCTTTTTAGAAGTGTGTTAATTGCATCTCAGTTTAGGCAAAAGAGGTTTGTTTTTTATTTTTGTATAGATATTTTTGTGCATTAAGTATTTGTTATTATTTTATTAGCAAGTCTCAGTCCACTCTGTGATAATTCATATCTTCTCAAGTATGTAATGAATATGCAATGTTAAACACTTTTAAGCGCAGGAATTATGATGACATCCTCCAGAAAATATTCTAAATGTGTGATTTCCAGCCCACTAACCCACAAATAAGTTGTGTACAGGCTCCCATTGAGAACAAGCTCCTGTGGATCATCGGGTAAACACTGTCTAGCAGTAGAGCTGGGGGAGAGTGAGACATTTCCATTTTAAAATCAGTTCTGTAAAGAAAATCTTTATGTGGGTGTCTGCACATAAAGTGCTGCTGATCCTAGGTCAGACAGTGTGTGTACAGACTGTCATCGCAGCCTTTGTTCAAAGAGGAGGAAAATCCCACAGGTGGCCCTGTGAAAGGCTCAGCCTTGCACAGTACTCTGCAATCTGATCCAGCTGAACACTTAAGTGTGCACTTAGTGTTAAGCTTAAAGGACGATGTCTGCTTTGCTAAATGATCCAGGATCAAATGCATGTATTCCTGAAGGAGGTATGTAATGTGTGAAAATAAACTGTATGGAAAAGTATGTACAGGTAGCTAGATAGATAATTAGGGAAGCCAATGATTTCAGTTCAAGGAACACTTTCATTTACAGTATTTTGTTTCACATTAATCCTTCAGCAGTCTACCACAGTTAATATCTGGCCATGAAATTTTCATCTATGTCGTGTCTTTCTTTGAAACTTAGAGATTTACAGTCTCTCAGCCTGATTTATCTCATCTTGACGCTGATGACAAA